TCTTTTAGCTAAATATTTAGAAGCAACAAAAAAATTTTTTAAATCTACGAAAAATTCAAATACATTTCCAGATTTTTAAAGGAGAAATAAAATTCCAGAATATTTCAGACTTCAAGGATTTCAAGGATGACTAGACACCCTGGTAAGGAACAACGAATTCGCGAGCGAATGCAAAAAAATTGTCGCAAACGCAAATTTTGTCCAACAATCGAGAGAGATACCTTAAATAAACAAATTTCATTCGACGCGTCATGATTAATGAATAAATCGATTAATTATTTTTCAAAAATGGCCGAACGTACTTATTTTAAACAATTAAATTATTTATTTTAATATCTTTAATAATAGGTATATTTATTTTATTATTTTCATTAAAAATTATTATTTATGAATATTTGTCCTTTCTAAAAGTCTCCAATAAAGTAAATTATATAAATATTATATAAAACATGAGATAACTTTGTAACATGAAAATTGTATCGAAAATGATAAATCATGTGTAAAAAAAAAAAAAAAAAAAAAAAAAATATATATGTTAGAAATATTTTCTTATAAAAGATAGCTTTCATATAGTATATGAACGACCTGCAAATATTCTCAGACATTGCTATTCACAGAGATTCATTAAGGATTCCACACGATAATTATCTAGTCGTATAGATGTGCGAGTTTCTATTACACTTCATATTGCCCCTATAATTACGCGAATTATGTATGTGCAAATCGAATTGACTAAAGATTGAAATGCGGCAAATATAGAAATGAGTATAAAATTTATTAAACCATAATATAATTTCACAAAAAGTCTGTGAGACTATTCGAATTAAAATTTAACACCCTGCATTCCTATATATTCTTCGCAGTAAAATATATATATGTTAAATCATTTCAGATGTAAATTCACTTTGTGCAAATAATATTATTTAGGGAAACGAATCGAAAATAACTGCTGAAGGTATAATTTTCATACACTTCTGCACACAAATGAATGTTTTATGGATGGATTATTCAAAGACAACAATATGGTTAGATCTAAAAATGCCCGTTATTTCTGTAAATCATATTTACGAAAAAAATAAACATAACACACACATTCCAAAATATCAGATAATTGCAATCGATAAATGGCGTTTCAATTTATTCTCGGATTTCCGACGACAATTCTGTTAGAATCGTCTGTAAGGAATATCAAATAATTCCCGATTTAATTATCGAACTATTAAAGATGACAGAGAAGACAGGATAAATATAATAAAGGCAATTTAAACTCACCTTAAGGATGCTGGTCTTTTGATGTTCCCTTTTTGTAAAATTGTATATAGCATTCTCATTAATTTTTACTTCAGTCATTAAACGCGGATTCAAAGAATTCAATTTCGAAGGGGTTTATTTGAATATTTATGAATAAAAATAAATATGTAGAGACTTCGAAAAATAATCTCTAATTTCAATAGTATACTCTCTTTCTAAGAAAATATATTTCGAGCACACATTCGAGTAAACTATTAAAAAATTATTCTATTCTTTTCAAGTTTATTTTTAAATATACCAACTTCTAATTTAAAATCGAGTTAACTTGGGAAGAATTTAAATTATAACACTTGGATTAATTTGAATAACCAAGATATAAACGAAACAGTATATTTTCGTCTCGGTTTTATTTATGGATAACGAATGTAATGATTCATCTCGGTAAATGCAAAAGTAGCGTAAGCTTAAGCTTCATAAATAAAGCGCAATATCAGGGTGTCCAGCAGATTCGATGAAAAAAATTTTTAGGAAAAAGTCAGGCTTTTTCAGATTTTCCAAGACCAGAAATTAATTTTTTCCCTGACTTTTTAGTATTATATTTTCCAAATATATCATTTGCATATATCCATATGATAAATCAATTAAATGTTAAATCATGAAATCCTTGAGATATTTTTGTTAACAATGAAAAGGTTCGAAAGTTAAAAAAAAAACAAAAATTTAAATCAATCTACATGTACGATAATCGAAACAAACGTGTCACTATAAACTATTTAAATGATCATCTTTTTTATTTATTATATATTATATCAAATTTCATTTTTAATATATTTTAACTAATTATAATACATATATTTGAATATATTTAATAATATCTATTATCACAACAAAACTTTTAAATAAAACATTTTTAATAAAATTAATGTATTAATTTTTAATAAAAAAATGAATTAAAATGAAGTTCTCGAACAATATTATAATTCTTGAGTAACGTTATAATATATTTTGAAATATATAATACATTGAAATAAAATAACACGACGATAAAAATATAAATTAACGAATCGATTTTTAACATGGAAAAATTAGTATACTGGGAGTCAAGGAAAAGTTATATTTATTTAATAAAAATTTTTTAATTATTACGACAGATGTAGAATAATGGAAAAAATCCAGATAAATAATAATTTCCTGACTTTTTTCCCAACAATTCTAGATTTATAAAATTCCCTGCACTGAAAAAAAAATTTGTTAAATTATCAAATATTTAGTTGAATACTGTCAAATGAATCATTTATTTGAAACAAATAAATATTTATTTGTTTTGAAAAGAATGTTCTTATATCAAATAAATATTATTAGTTTCAAATAAATGATTTTTTGACAGTATTGAAATAAATATTTATAATTAAGAATTACCTAATTTTTTTCAGTGCAACAATACCCGGTTTTCCAGATTTCATATTAAAAAATAAATATTATTATTAAGTTTCAAATAAATGATTTATTTGACAGTATTGAAATAAATACTTATAAAAATTAACTAAATTTTTTTTCAGTGTATGTGTATTTATGCTTTTTTTATATTTAACCTAAGCCTTGTGAAAATAAAATATTTATATTTGTTTTAAAAAGGATTTTCTTATATCAAATAGATATTTTTCATATTAAATAAATATTAGTTTCAAATAAATGATTAATTTGACAGTATTGAAATAAGTACTTAAAAAAGAATTAACCGAATTATTTTTAGTACGTGACAATACTCGGTTTTCCAAGATTTCCCTGACCGCTAGACACCCTGAGGAAGAAATGTGCTTCGAATTTGCGCGACACAGCCGCATATATACTTTTTCTGTTCGCCCGAAAATTCGCGGGATAGAGAAGGGAAAAAGCCACTCGATCCTTCCCTAAGTATATATATAGGGCTTCTATATAGTAGTTGCAGTTAGCCCGTATAAGGGCTGCGCGGCTTTTAGTTTACGCTCGTGTTAATGGTTTATTGACGCGGACCAGCGGTGGCGCGGACCAAGTTCCGACGTTTCTTCGGTGTAAGAAGATTACAACGTAACTTTGTGCTCCAAGTCGACACGACGGGCACGTCATCTCTACGTGGAACTTCTCCATCGACTTGGCGCGATTGAGATACGCAATGGTTGACGCAATCTCGTTATATATATACGTTTCTCGTTGAAAACAATTCGAAATATCTCCGGAATGAGTTTGGCGCATGTCAGAACACCCGCAGTTATTGGAGAGAGAAACAGTTTCGCGCGTTCTCTCGTAATGTATAAATTATTGACGGAAAAATTGTCTTAAAACCGCAAAGTTTATTTCAACTTCTCCCAAGTTCACTTTTCGAGCACTCCATTCTTCGTGAAGTAGAATTCACGATATATAGATGAAAAAGTTTGTTAAATCTTGTGATTTTTCCTGTTATTCTATTAATGAAATAAATAAATTGATTTTCTTATTGTAGCGGAATAAAAAAAATGAGAGAGTCGAAAAAATAAAATAATACGAAAATTATCACACTTTTCGACGATTGCAAAAATCGAGCCGAGGAAAACATTATTTCTCTCATTTTGTTTATTCCGCTAATAAGAAAATCATTTTTCGAAAATTAGTGTCTTCTATATTATTAATTATCTCCCGTTCATATCGCGTGAATTCGCGGTTTTAGAACATTGGCATCTTTTTGAATTCCGCCGATCTCATTCCGAAGATGCGATTTATCAAGAGAGAAGACAGCGATCCCGGTTTTTCATTTAATCAGCAAGAATTGTACACGTTGTACACGTTTCCACGCCATTTTTCTTATACGAAGACGCATCGCTTCCTTTTTACCATCGACTCGTCTCGAAAAAAAAAAATGTTTCTTTTCCAAGTTATAAGTGTGCGATGAACAAAGCTCATCGATTTTCCTTTTTTTTCAGTTTTAATGCAAATTTTCCAAGCGTGCATAAAAAATAAAACGCGGAAACAAATTTCCACATAATTTATAACCCCAAATTTACGTATGAATAAATTATTAATTTTTCAGGGGAAAAGCATATTTGATGAAAATTACAAAATAAAATCGAAAAGGCAATATTATAATACAAATTTTGAAATATTGTTCAAATTTATCCGTATACTATCGTAATTCCGCATATTTACAACAAAAAAAAATTGTAACTCAATATACAGGGAATACAATTTGTTTCCAACCACACTCGTATATATGTATATATATACATTTGTCTGTTTATTATTTATGATATGCATCTGTAAAGCAGGTGTTCACGATTGCGTATTCATAAGTGATTCAGATTCGTATACTGGTTACTAATTTTCTAACCGTCATTTATTCGGTTGTAAATTTATGGAAAGTATTTACGTCGCATTTCATTCATGTATATATATACACTTGCTGCGAATTATTAACGCAAACGCGTTTCTCGCAAAATTTTGATGGAAATTATCAAATGAAACAGCAAAGTGTTATACCCGCGCATATTATATACATTTAATTATTTAAAAAATAAAACGCCCTCACTCCGTTTCGAGAGCTCTTACTGCGTAAAATTCACTCGCAAAATTCCAGATAATACACGGCAACAAACTACCTTTTTTATATATCCGGACATGGCAAAAAAAAACCTACGGAGAGGAGGAAACAATTCATTTTCGCTCGATGCGGAATTCATTTGGAAAAATGGCGGCTGGGATCGCGGTCCCCTTTGTTTATCGGCTCTTTGTGCACTCACCGATTTCGCTGACGGAGGAGGAGCGCTTCGAGGATATCCCGAAGAGCCGCATGATGCGACGTCGAAGACGACGAATATCTCTCGGTGTTGATTTCAGCTGCCGCTCTCCCTCGAATATCACCAGCTGCTGTCACGAGGTTACAGGCCGCCGAGTCCGTCAACGACTCACGCGCACACACACGCGATATACGTCAACGCGACACGCACACGGAACTCGCGCGCACCGGTGTCGAGTGCGGGCGAGACGAGAAGCCGAAAGAGCCTAGAGGTGAGAACGGGATGACGAGGTAAGAAACAGGTGAGGGAAAGGCTGATATATCTCGGTCTCAGTCTCGGAGAACCGCGCCGTTACAATAATGCCGGCACTCGCAGACTTTTCCTTCCACGGCGAGCAGGATCCGAGGTGGATTGCATCACCCGTTGTGTCTTTTTATTATTCCGCGACGTTGTCTTTATCGCGTTGTGAATCGTCCTGCGTAGTGTAACTCGAGGCGAGCGATAGAGAGATATAAGCCCTCTCTTTCCTCCCGACCTGTTCAAGGACAGAGGCGCGCGCTGCGTAGGATAAATAAGGACGAATTCCCCTTCGTGGCGTGTTTTGTAGGCCCAGGGGTTCTTCGACGGCGGAGCTGAAATTAGAGGAATTTCGAGGATTCATTTTTAGTTTTTTTTTATTTTTCACACGTTATATGTACACCAAGAACAACTTAGTTAATTCTTGGAAGTATAATTATTTTAATACTGTCAAATAAGTCATTTATTTGGAACTAATAATATTTATTTATTATATGAAAAATATTTAAAATTTTTACTTGTTTCAAATAAATGATTCATTTGACAGTTGAACATTGAACTAAATATGTATTAATTTAACAAATTTTTTCAGTGCAGTAGAAAAATTTGTGTTTTCTTGTTAAAAACGATCCCCATTAAAATTTTTGTGTTAAATATTTAATATACATTCATGTGTTAATTTAACATATTACTGTTCTGTTGATTGAACTTAAATTATTAAAACAACTGACAAAATGTAAAATAATTTTCTTTGGACCATTTGGGACATGTGATATCTGTTAAATTTCACAGAAATTGTTCAACTGTGTGTACATTGAAAAGAAAAAAATTTGTCAACTTGACTAAATATTATTTTGTTCGTATAAAAATATTTATTAAATATAGCATTTTAAACATCTAACAAAACGTATATTTCATTTAAATACTGGCATATGTTCAATTAAGAAAATAGTAATTTTGTTGAAAGGTTTGGTTAACAGATTTTTTTTCAATGTATGATGAATCACAGTTTTGATCGATCGACGAGAGAAATATTTCTTACGGCGCGTTTTTATTCACTGATCAGTGTTTGTTAAATAAAAATATATATAGATATAATCAGAAAATAAAGTTTTAATGTCGTCTTATCTTTCAATAAGATAATAAAAATATGTATTAACAATTATATTTTAGAACTGTATTTATACATAAGCAATCTTAGAAATATTATTGAGAAGTTATCGTCACATAAAAATTTTATCTTTTATCTAGATATATTTACATATTAAATATTATATATTAAAACGAAATCATTTTCATCTGATCTAAGATTATTTTATATTTATGTATTTTCGCCTAGCTAATTTAAAAATCATCGAAGTACAACACACACTGTTCCCGATTAATCGTTACGTTTTCTTTTCATCAAAGTGAAGTGAGGCGCGATTGATCGAAACTTTTGCCTTTGTCGCCGTGAGTATTCTCTCTCCTCCTCTCTCTCTCTCTCTCAAACCTTCTCCCTTGATGAAAAGCTTGTTTTTCTAAAGAAGGAAGTTCGGGAAATTAAGTTTACCGGAGTTTAACCCCGAAAGAAAAGTTGAAAAACCTCTCTCTGGTTACGAAGTAACCCTCCCGTAGTGGTACTTTCCGCAAACGGACGCGAAAAGTTAACTCTCACCTCTTCCCCAAAGATTGAGTTCCCGACGAAATTTCGTAATCGAGAGCGTCTGACAGAGAGAATTTAGTTGGCCGATTGATTTCGCGCGCGAACGCGAGATATTCACTCTCCGGCGAGAATCGAAAGTTTACGATTAGAAACCAAACGGATATGAATTGCGAATTGGCTTCGAGTCAAATCGATAATCGCGAATCAATCTCTCTCTCTCTCCCAACTATATAACTCGAAGAGAAACGACTGTGAAATTCTTATGTTCCGTGACGTGTCCGATAAACCGCCGACTTCATTCCGAACACGAAAAATCATCGTAACGATCTCGATAAAAAACCAGAGGAGAAAGTAAACCAATATATATATGTATATAGTCAAATGGAATCGCGATCAAAGTTTCGAAATAAATAAAAATGGGACGGTAATAACCTATTATCTTACCTCGAGTCTTTTACTGCCAACACTTTCGGCCAATATCACACAAAATAAACTCCCTCTCGTCACAAACAAAAATTGGTATCACGCAAAACAAAGGTACACAAGTATAACTATATATATAAATATTTTCGCCTCTGGCAAAAATAAAAAATTCCGCGATTAATTGGTTCCGGTGAAACTTTTCTCTCGAAAAACTCGCGCTCATCCACAAAGAGTTACCTCGACGGCGTCCCGCGCGCGACTGCGAGTGCCGCTCACGGAATCGGGACTCCCCCTCTTCGTGCGCAACTTCACGCCGTTCACGCGTCGGCTCTCTCTCTCCTTCCGATTTTCTCGAGAGAGAGAGGCCAAAGACGTCTAACGCGATCTCGCTCGGAAACACGCACAGACCTTCTTCCTTCGTGAGGTTCGACCTACGTAAAGGTGTATTATACTTATATATATTGCTTTGTATACTTTCGAAGCGACGACGCGATCGGCGGAGCCGAACATTGCGCGCGCATGCGCGCGAAAAGCAACCGCGATGCTCCGCTGACCGCTATGTTTGTTTCCACCCTCGCTCACGTCACGTCGTAGTTTATGCGTCTCCGAGCCTACGACGTGCCACCGTCACAGCCTGGCTCACCCTCCTGCGAATATAAGGGCTTCCCTACCCCGGAAAGGGGAGAAATTGCGCGCTTCGTAGGGCAGCAGGACACGGTGGCGTCGTTAGATATCAGTGTTTCTCAATACGTTTGTTTGATAAAGAAGATTTATTTTAGAAACTGGAACAATCCGAGTTTTCCGATGCCCTGGCATTTTTCCTTTAAAATGACAATTGATGTGTTTCGAATTTAATTATCGACTTTCAATACGTATACATAAATAAATATTTTTCGTCAATACATATTTGAGTAAATGTAATTTGTTCGATTTGCGTTGTTTGGAATGTCAACTGGCTGGGTTGGGCAGATGTATCTTAGGTATCTTATCTGAGAAGTATCTGAGATACGCGTATTTAAATATGTATATCTTATTTAAATATATATAAGGATCACAAGCTGATGATCGAAACGTCGATTTCATGAATAAATTTGTCCTAGATTTGGTCGCTTAAATTTATCCTTTAATTGTTCTACTATAGCAATTTAAAAATTTAATTACGTAATTTATTTATTTTACGCAGAAACTGAATCTGCTTAAGAAATTATTGCTCTGATTTTTCATATAATTTGAACGTAATGATTCTATGCATTGTAAAATGATGCTAATATTCATAAATTATTAATATTTTTGTCATCCCTTTTAAAATGATGATTTATGTATATCGAATTTAATTATCGACTTGCAATGCGTACAGGAATAAATTTTTCGTAAATAAATATTTGTATAAAAGCAATTAATTTATTTTTTAATGCAGAAACTGAATCTGCTACAGAAATTATTGCTTTAATTTCTTATACAATTGAGCGCAATATGATTCTATGCACGCTTTATTATTTTAATAATATGATTATAGCGATTCTTTTTTCACTTATAAAATGATGCTAATATTCATAAATTATTAATATTTTTGTTATCTCCTTTAAAATTATGATTTATGTATAGGTATTGAATTTAATTATCAACTTTCAATATACGCGCACGAATAAATATTTGCATAAAGACAATCTCATAGACTTTTTTTATAGAAACTGAATCTGCTTCAAAAAATTATCGCTTTAATTTTTTATATAATCTTGTTTAAACGCAATGATTTTATGCATGGTTCATTATCTTAATGATGATTACTTTTAACTTTTTTTTACTTATAAGGTAATGTTGATTATATATATATATATATATATATATATATATAAATATTTTTCATAAATAAATATATAAAGAGAATCTCATGGATTTCTTTTTTTGTAGAAACTGAATCTATGGTCTAAAAAAATGATCGCTTTAATTTTTAATATAATCTTGTTTAACTAATATTCAAATAAATTATCAGTTTTTTAAAATAAAATAATATGTTTTCTCTTATTTCCATCAACAAATTGTAATCAAGCATATTAGTAGTAATATTATAATAATATATGTATATTATATCTCATTATGTTTCGCGCATTTTAATATTTAGAAAGAGACGAAGAAGTTAATTTTAATATTTATTATGACAATGCTAATTCTCTGTTTCTCTTCATAAGCAATAAATAAAAATTTAACACACACACACACACACACTATAACTGGTTCTGCTTTAATAATAGTTAAAAATAACCAAAGAGAAACTCGTCGCTTTTTATTGTTCATGAGATGTAAATTATTCTCTGATTTAGAATTTATAACAATATTGCACACGTATATATATATAATCACTATGTTCAAACACAATTTAAAAAAAATGAAACAAGAACGACCATTTTTTTTAACAGATTCAGTTTCTCGAAATACATAAATCACTGAACTCTATACATACTAAAGCGAGCTCTGACGCTTCAAATGCGATTGATGCGATGAGATAGCGACATCGGATATCTTGTCTTTTTTTTCAGTGTAAAGTTTCATCAAAAAATTTATCTCGCGCGCGTTCTATAAAGGAAAAAAGTCTCACTTCGCTCGCACGTTTACTTATAACACACGGATGATCTTTTTTAACAAGGGGCTCTTTGTAGATTATCTTGTTTCAATTTCCGTCGCGTTCGATGCTTTATCGTATTCCTGAGTGGACTAGCAGCCGTGATTGTAAATTTGTAAATAAAGCGGCCGACCTCGCTCCTTCACCATTCTTTATACATGACGCGTTTATAATTTATATACCTGATTTTCAAAAAACAATTGCTCGCACAGTATTATCTCGACAGTACTAAAGATTAGTTCGAACTCATCGCGATTCTTATTTGTTTATTATCTGTATAATATTATTAAAAAATCTTGTTAGCAAATCTATTGTCTAATCGATATTACAACTGATTTGCTAATAATTATTAATAACAATTTTATATAGAATATTCGCGTGTTTTATATTATATCTACTATACATAGCCATTAATATCACATTTATTCTATATACATATAAATACTGGACAATATTTTAAAAGTATTAGAAAAAAAATTAGAAAAATTTCATACTTTTAATAAAAATTTAACTTAATCCAAGCCGTTTTGCGCTGCTTGAGAATTAAAAGCGATAATATTGAAATATTTCAAAAAAGAATAGCAACTACTATTTTAATAGCAACTTGAGAAAGTTAACTTAAAAATAAAATCATCAGCCATATTTTT